AGAGAGAGAGAGAGAGACGTCTACTAGAGAGATAGATAGATACCTGTCGGTCTGTGCATCCAATCCAGTAATCCAGGCTCGAATCGGCCAATGCCATATTTACGACGATGCTCTGTTGTGTTGAGGTTTTGACATAGGCGAGATGTCCACCATATGACACACAAGTCGCTTGGGCTTGGTCGAAATTAACGGCCCTTCGTACCGCCCGGTAGCGGTAACCGTTCAAGTCTCTAATCAAATCCGCATTGCCTATAAAACAAGAGGCATCCCTACTTTTAGAAAAATCATCACAAGTAGATAGACGGAAGGAGGCCGATGAGATAAAACCAGAATGCTGAAAAAATTACTGACAAAAATATCTTGAGCAGAAACAGATTTAACTATAAAGACAAAAAAGGCCTTACCCTTAGACATTCATTCCTAAATTAATAAGATAATTAATGACCCGCAGCAAAATGTGTAATATCTCTAAAATGATGACACAGTGCATTTACGTACCTTGTGCCATCAGTAGCACCAGCGTCACCAAGGTAACATTGGGTGACATCATGGTTTGTCGATGTTCAATGAACTTTCGTATCTGAAGATCTGTGACCGAAGAATATGCGACAAGAATATCTTATCACAAGTATAATAAAACTAAATTTCATCTAACTAGGCAATTTATTTGTCCCACTCTACAGAAAAAAAATTCATTGGCATTGATAAAGGAAGCAAACTAGGGCCTGGGATAAGCTACATCTGAATAATTTTTGGAAAGTTGGCTACGTGATCTGGACGCTAAATGCATTGAGATATAGTGCGTTCGACTTGACCAAAACTAATGCCACCTAACGCTATTTCTTTAAAGGGTCAAAGAAAAACGCAACTGCAGTTACACTTGCCATCCTATTTTAATGATGGCTACACCACTATGTGGTTCATATTGTTTTTATGGCTTCACCACTATGTGGTAAAGTCATTTTGTTTTTCCTGATGGTTCTTCTCCTCCTCCTCCTTCTCCTGCCATTTCGTTAAATGGATTAGATTTCTTCATTTTTAAGCAAAATAACACCAAATTTGGCATGAATGTAGAGTGGACTAATACCCCAAGGCGTTTTTTTCGGTTTTTTCGATACAGACCATCAGAATTGTTTTTTAGGGCCATTTCGTTAAATGGATTCAATTTCTTTATTTTTGAGCAAAATAACATCAAATTTGGCATGAAGGTAGAGTGGACTAATACCCCAAGGCGTTTTTTCCCGTTTTTTCGATACAGACAATCAGAATTGTTTTTTAGGGCCATTTTGTTAAATGGATTCAATTTCTTTATTTTTGAGCAAAATAACATAAAATTTGGCATGAAGGTAGAGTGGACTAATACCCCAAGGCGTTTTTTTTTTCGTTTTTTTCGATACAGACCATCAGAATTGTTTTATTTAGGTTTTTTCGGTCATTATTCGACAGAATCTGTACCTTATGGGTCCTGGGGACCTTGTATTATAATCAAACGATCTGAAATTTGATATGGGTGTGCTTTGTATAGCTATCAACAACAATTCATGATAACTTTCCACCCCTTTAAAATTGTATAATTTAGTACTTTTGGACTGTTACTGGGCCAATTAACTGTACATGCTGTACAGGCTGATTTGAGCAGGACTACTTGAGGCATCGCCAGGCAAGGGAGAAGCCGCCACTCTTGTAGATTGGTTAGTACGTAACATGGATAGAGGTTAGGTTAATGTAGTTAGTAAATTTATGTTTTGTAATAGTGCTATTGTTAATATTTATGATATGGTAAGCCGGTTTATATATACCCTGAGATAATCATGAGCAGTCCTATAGTAGTGTATTTGGTTATTTTTGCATATGGTTTTCTGACATTTTCCAGCCCTGTTACTGGGCTCAGTCGTATAGCAAGGCATGACACACTTAATCCTTTGCCTTACATGTATAATCCTTTGCCATACAGTCTAGATCACAACTCTGCAGTCAGACAGTGTACTTATGTATTAAGTCTACTGATACCTGATGTCACGAAAACAACAGGACAGACTAGCTCAGCCGATGTTGATTTTGTTAACCTGTGTTTTCATATCCCACTTGTCTTATCTGGAGATTTAGCCACATCCTGGTCCAGCTAAGCTGAGGCACGTGAAAGACCCATGTGCAGTATGCCAAAAAGGAGTCAGGACAGGAATAGAATGTGAGGTATGTACCAAATGGTTTCATCCTACATGTGCAGGCATATCAAAACTGTTTTTTTTTTCAAACATACCTTAGGTATGAAACACTTGAGTGGACCTGTTACAAATGTGAATTTGCGCGCCTTGCACATCTTCCTGATGTAGAGTCAGATGACCAGTCATCAACATTCCCTACTAGTATCCTGGATTCTCTACCACCACATCCTACATTTCCTAAGAAGTCTGGGATCAAAGGTCTGTTACTGGCTCACCAAAATATCAGGAGCCTTCCAGCTAAACATATGTTCCTTGAGGTTCTTACCCAAGAAAGTGGAATTGACATTCTTGGCTTGACAGAAACACATTTGACTGAGGATTATCCAGATAATGTATTAAATCTTCCAGGATATCCTTTTCTGCGGAAAGACAGAGGCTCAGGCCATGGTGGAGGTGTAGCCATGTATATTAAAACACATATTGCCTATCGTGAAAGAAATGACCTCAACACTGAGGGACTAGAAGCAATATGGATTGAGCTAATGCCACAAGTGGGCAAACATTTATTTATATGTTGTACATATAGACCCTCTTGTGATAACACTTTCTTTGAGCACTTTAACACCAGTTTAGAGAAAGCATCAGATCTTGATATGGAGATTATGGTAATGGGAGACCTGAATTGTGATTTTCTTATTGATACAGGGAATTCCATTGAAATTAAATTCTTGTGTGACTTACATGGTTTACCAAACTTAGTTCAATCACCTACAAGAGTTACCGAAACAACTGCAACTTTGATTGATGTAATTCTAACCTCCAACCCAGCAAAATACACGGATGGCAGAGTATACAACAGTTGCCTAAGTGACCACCACATGGTGTATACTCATAGAAGTTGCAAATAACAACTCATTACTACTAGAATATTCAAGAACTTGGAATAAGTCCAGCTTTATAGCGGACCTTGCTAGTGTTCCTTGGCACACAGTAGATATTTTTGATTCTGTGAATGACAAATGGGAAACCTGGAAGGAACTGTATAACACTGTATGTGATGTACATGCCCCAGTTAAGCAGTTCAGGGTCAGAGGTGACAATTGTCCACGTTGGCTCACAGAAGAAGTGAGACAAGTGATGCATGCACGTGATTATGCAAGGCATCTTGCTGAACGGACACAGTCACCTATAGACTGGGAGGCATATAAGAAACTGCGTAATAGAACTAAGAAGATGATATTGAACTCTAAAAGAGATCACTACACAAACGTTATCCACAGTTCAGTAGACAACAAGAACAGTCTTTCTGAAATGTGAAAAGCTCTCAAGAAACTGACTGGAAGTCCGAAGTCCACAGAAATACCTACCTTAGTCAACCATGATAGTGAAGCTAACTCCTTCTTTGGAGGAGTGGCTGGCAAACTGGCTGGGTTATTGCATAAGTACAAGTCCATATTCCATCCCCTGCAGTTTGCACAACACAGTAAAGTAACTCTCTCCTTCCAACCCATATCAGAGGCTTTTGTTTTGTCCGAACTTTCTTCCATGAAAGCAAACAAAGCCACTGGTCTTGATGGGCTTAACTGCAGACTCCTCAAGATTGCTGCCCCTGTTATAGCACCTTCCTTGACTAGCATTTTGAATACTTCCTTGTCCACCTCTGAGTTCCCTGCAGACTGGAAGAAAGCGCGAGTTGTGCCTATCTTCAAAGCTGGAGATAGATCAGACACTGGTAATTACAGACCAGTTAGCATTCTTCCAGTAATATCTAAAATACTGGAACGCGCAGTTCATCAGCAAGTCTATCAGTTCCTGACTGAGAATGACCTTCTCTCTGCACGACAGTCTGGGTTTCGCAAAAACATTCAACCCAAACAGCTCTTCATTTAGTCACAGAGGAATTGTATGAAGCAGTGAATCAAGGTAAAATCACTGGTGTAGTGTTTGTGGATCTGTCAAAGGCTTTTGACACCATTGACCATAACATCCTTCTGCAAAAACTCAGTTCCTTTGGAATCATTGGCTCTACAGCTAAATGGTTCCGATCGTACCTCTGTGAGCGATCTCACTGCACAGTTGTTAATGGACAAACATCCAATTTCTGTAATGTTGATCGTGAAGTGCCGCAAGGCTCCATTTGGGGACCGCTTTTGTTTGTAATGTATGTAAATGATATGTCAAAATGCATACAACACTGCAAAATTGCTTTATATGCTGATGACACTGTGGTATACTTCAGCCATCCTGACTTAGAAACCATACAAAGGGCTCTTCAGCCTGATATGGACCGTCTTCATCACTGGTTTGTGGCTAACTGTCTTTCTGTCAACGCCAAGAAGTGCAAAGCCATGCTTATTGGCACACGGCATCGGCTTATAGGGGAAAAGACCAGTTACAAGTATTAATGAATGGAAACCCCCTTGAAGTAGTCCCAGTTTTTAAATACCTTGGTGTAATTGTTGACAGCGAACTGAAATGGGATTTCCATGTTATTCATGTTCTGTCTAAACTAAAGCGAGCGCTTGGAATAATGCGTCAGGTCCAACCTTTTGTCACACAATCTGCACTTGTCACCTTGTATAACATCATATTTTTACCACACTTAACTTATGCCTGTACTGTCTGGGATGGTGCCATTTCGGTACAATATGATAAGACGCAAAGAATGCAGAACCGAGTAGGAAAATTGATCTTGAAAGCCCCGTACAGAACACCATCACGGGAAGTCCCCTCTCTCGTCTGGGATGGAAGTCCGTGAGAACTCTACACCGTCAACATAAAGCCATGCTAGTGTATAGGGCCTTTGACAATTCTTTACCACCACACATGCGAGGGGTGTTCATCCGGTATAGAGATGAAGCCTCCAGATCCACCAGACAGAGCACATTGGACAACCTCATCATACCGAGGCCCCAACTGGAAGTTTACAGGCGGTCACTGAGGTACTCGGGGGCGACTGTGTGGAACTCCTTGCCACCACATGTACGAGCAGCCCAGTCATTGGGAACATTTAGAAGTAACTTTGACTGATAACGGACTGATGATTTACTATTTATTTTTGTATTATTTTTTGATTTGCATATTGTTTTGATTTTGTATTATATTTTGGTTTGGTTTGTAATCCGTGACCCCGCCCTCACCCTCGACCTTGTTGAAAAGCGGTCATGTATGTACCGAACAAGCTTTCGAGATTAAATAAAGGCTTACTTTTTACTTTTTTACTTACACATAGTGTCGTTGCGTGACGTAATAGGAATGGAATGTGGAGAGGGCATGGGGCGGGGCAGGCCCAAATATGGGCATGCAGGGAGCAACAGGTGTGGCCATGTTTGTAGATGTCCTCGTTCATTGGCTATTCGCTATTTACTTTATCTGCTTCCACCTGCGCACGCTGTAGGCACATTATAATTGTAATAATTACTTGGTCTGTTTACAAGTTTGGCCAGGAAAAAGGAGTGTTCTAAATCGGTGGAAAATCGTCACGTTTATATACCTTGCGTTTTTAACCGACATTTCAAACCTTTTAACCACATAAGCTACAGCTACAGGGCTATTTTTTCATCTAGCCGACCTCTTGAAAGAAGAGGCACTGCGTTACATTCGAAAACGTACAGTGCATATTTTATGCCCGCTACGAGGTTTAAGCTACGAGGCGAGTGCTATTAACAATACAACAAAACGAGTTACCCTCGACGACTTGAAGAACAATCACGACCTGGCAGCAATATGGGATTCCCTGACTATCTACGATCTACCCGGGCTTCTGACTGCTGAATAAAACGGCTATTGAAAGGCCCGATACTTTTGTAGCCTTGTGTGTTTGTTGAGGCGGCACAACACAGTTTCAGCCCTACTCTTCTCACTGGCAATAGACTGGTTAATAAAAAACGTAACCAAAGACAAAAGAAGAGCTTTACAATGGACAATCAGTACAGCTCTAGAAGATCTTGATTATGCAGATGATCTTGGTTTACTCTCCAGCAGACACGGTGATGCACAAGAGAAGTCAAGAAAGCTCAGTATGATCTCAAACACCATTGGCCTTAAGGTGAATGAGGATAAAACCAAAGTCCTAAAGACAAACACTACAGAGATCCCATCGCGATAAATCGCAAACCACTGAAATAGGTAAACACATTCACCTATTTATGCAGTAAGATGACTGCGGAAGAGGACTGTACGAAAGAAGTAGACATTAGGATTAGTAAGGCAAATCAGGCATTTGCAATTCTTAGACCGGTATGGAGTGACACTAACATACATACGAAAACAAAAATTAACATGTTTAAAAGTAACGTCTTGAGTGTTCTGTTGTATGGTGCGGAGTGTTGGAAGGAGACGGCACTTAAACAGCATAAACTGAACGTATTCCAGAACAAATGTCTACGACGAATCCTCAAAATCTTTTGGCCTAACACCATCTCGAAAAAGAACCTATACCTTAAGACAGGACTTAATCCAGTGAGCGAGACCTTCCGTGCTCGCAGATGGAGATGGCTAGGCCATGTTCTTCGCAAACCAGCAACTGATCTGACAAGAGTAGCGTTGAAGTGGACGACGCAGGGCAGAAGAGCGAGAGGTCGTCCTAGGGTGACATGGAGAAGAACAGTAGAGAAGGAGGTGAGGAGGCACGGGTTTTCGATGGATGAGGCGGCGAAGGTGGCTACTGATCGGCCTAGATGGTGAAGCTACTTGGAACCCTATGCGCCACAGGCTCGGAAGGGGACTGAGAGAGAGAAAGGACCCTAAAGTGACTCACTTCGACTCACTGAAATTCATAGTAAGGTGCTTAAGCAGGGTTCAGAATTTTAATATGTCTAACTTCAGGGTATAGTGTACAAAATATGTAAAAATGAATGAGCTTAAATTTACCGGCTCGCGCCCTCTTTTATTGGCGCCACTACGGAGGTCATGGAACTGCAGTCGACGCACAGTACTAGGCTGGACAAGTATCCAAGCGCAAATCTGAGCCGACTGAACATTTATCACAGGTTCAAGTGGAAATGGCATAAGTTCCCTTCCAATGAAAGTATTTGTTGTAACATCATGATAGAAACAAGTAATGCTATGTACTTGCAACACACATGAGAATTACTTTGATGTTGTCACAAGAGTTTTCAGCCGTAGACAGACAAGGAGCATGCCACAATACCACTGAGAAGGTGTAGAAGGCTCAGAAGCTACCAACAGCAAAAGAAAGATTGCACTGTATGGCAACGATGATGATCAGAAAAAGACAAACGGGGCAGAGAAAGAAAACGGTACCAAGAAGATGTGACATATGCCCAGCCCCAACGAGACAGGAAAAATACACCGTATCATACAGATTTGGAGCATGCCCAGGAGAAGCGAGACAAAACGAAGGAACGATATCACACAGATGAAGAGCATGCGCAGGAAAAGCGAGATAAAACGAAGGAACGATATTACACGGATGAGGAGCATGCGCAGGCCGAGCGAAATAGAAAGAAGGAACGGTACCACACAGATGAGGAGCATGCACAGAAGAAGCGAGACCACGAAAAGGAAAGATATCATACAGATCCAGAGCAAGGAGGTTCGAAGAAAAGAAATGTGGAGATTACAGAGAGATATACAAGAATTTACCAGATGTTAAGAAGGCCATTGGAAAGTTCCATCTGGAATGCAAAAAGGGACCAGCACATGCTTGCACTGTATGTCATAGGCTTTTGTTTCGTGATCAAGTTGTAATCTGTCACACATCAAAGTATGTTCCGGCTGTTCAACAATATCTCACGGGTAAGTATGTACATAAATGCACTGAAGACTGCAGCCCACATTGTCCCCATTAAAAATCACCCACGGGGAAAGAGTTGATATGTCACTGTTGTCACGGGCACATGATGAAAAAGAAGACCATTCCATACCAGGCCCAAAGTAATAAAATGAAGCCCCCGGACATACCTCCTGAGCTAAAAAGTCTCAATACTTTGGAGTCACAACTTATAGCCAAGAGAATATCATTTATGGAAGTTGCCGCTCTCCCGAAAGGGGGGCAGAAGGGAGTTATAGGCCCCGCAGTGTGTGTCCCGGCAGCCAGATGTAAGTAAAACACATCAGGTCCTTCCCAGAATGTCGACAAAAGCTGAGTTAATCAAAGTAAAACTTAAGAGGAAGCTACAGTACAGTGGGCATTACATGTATAGACAGATTAGTCCAATGAAAGTAGATGCTGCTCTGAAATATCTTGTAGAAAATAATGAACATTACATTGGCACGTCTATCAATGCAGACTGGGCTTTGTCATGGAATGAAGAAGGGCTTCTGGAGGGGAAGGCGACTCAGAAGTTCCTACAGCTCCAGAGCACGGCGAGTCAGTCAGTGAGGACAGTGATGACGTGGAAGGGCCAACTGGATATTGTATGGAAGATGATGAAATGGACAACATTCGTCAACAGATGAATATAGAAGAAGCCATGGTGGAAGCAGATCTGGTTGAGGAGGATGAACTGAACAACCTCTTGCGGGGGCTACCGCATGACACTTGCCTTCAGCCAATAGACATAGGGCAGGAATTTCTTGATCACCATGATGAACATATCCTGTGTGTTGCCCCAGGAGAGGGAGAGAAGCCAGTTTCTGTATTCAAGGAGGTCGGTGGAGAGGCTATGTACTTCCCAGTGCAATTCCCTAAAGGGAAGTTTTCTTTTAACGATGCCTAACAGAATTGGCTCCGAAGTTCTAATTTACAAATCGTGCATAATGTACATCACAACGAAGTTGATATTCCGTGAAATATTAACCTATTACTATAAAAAGACACTGATAAAAATATTTCAAATAGCAGAGGTATCAACCGCAGCGGTTAGGAATGTTCTTTGTTTTTCATTAAAGCTATGGATATCATAGAGTAGATATTTGCCAGCAAGAGAAGATCTCCATAAACAACGACTGATATCTGAAATTTAGGTAGATCAAAGTACTATAATCTTACAGTGCTAAATGAATGTAAATCAGGTTATACCGGTAGACATTATCATACAGGTGCAGATAGAAACCAAGAGCAAGTATCCATGCTTTTTGGCGTATTAGCCCTAGCCCCAATTAGCCCTAGTTTTTTTCGTTCGAACTGACTTTCCTTTTTGGTACCTTTTCTCACCAGCGCGACATACTGGATACTGACCTGACAATGATACTGCATTTTTGCAGCCACCGGAAAATCTACTTGGTTTGAGATTATTGAAGAGATACCGGATGTTTCGAATGAAAAAAAAAAACACAATATACATAACGACTGTATAAGACACTGGTATACGTATTGATATATGTAATAAAAAAAGTTATCATAGTTACATAATATTATAGTAGTTAGGATTTTTTATCATACAGACATCAAGAGAGAGTAACCCGTCATCACTTTAGCTATAGACTTCTGCTCGCTTAGAGGCAATCATCATAAAGGTTGATCCAAGTTTACACGTTTGTATCGTTTAAAGTACTTAACCATACTTTGTCGAGAGCACCAAAACACTTATACAAGACGATGAAGATTTAAATCAAGCGAAACATTACCTCTAAAACTGAGATGTATTAAGGGCATGATATTATGGTAACGTTATCATCATCACCATCAAAATACATATCTGTCGGTAATACAGTTCGGAGTCTATAAGCTCGGAGGAGGGTCCAAATAAAAAAAAAATACTATCATATATTATATCTGATTCATCTGAATGCAAAACCTTGTGACAACAGGCTTCTATCACTACAAGGGGTGATTTAAACCATCATTATCTAAATAAAAAAATGTATGAAACCATGAAAAATTCCTTACCTCACTGTCTCACAGACGTAGCTGAAGATCGTGTCGTCTGGCTCTTCCCGAGCCTCCTACTGTTGAAGAAAATCTGCATTCATATATACTCATCCCAAGAGTAAAACATACAGGGAAATGCCAACGTACGGGAAATAGTCCGTGGGCCTATGTATTTAACTCAAGTATTTATGTAATACCAAGTTCATTTCTATTACGTTCAGTCTAAGAAAAAAGCAACCTTTACTGTGACGGAGTGCTATAACAAATAAACCCTTGACTGTTCATTTGATTTCATAATATTATAGAGAAGTAAATCTACAACTGTTTTGATTAAAAGAAGACAAAATAATTTGTGAAGTGGCAAGTAAATTGAAAACACTTTATTATTTATTTCAATATGTAGATCAAGTGAACCTATGTATTGAATATCAAGTATGTGGCCATTTTCATCTTGGTATACCTTGGAATCCAGCGTTGCAGTATTAAATCTTTCATTAGTAGTGTTTATAAAGCTACCATGTGGCAATATACATAAGAGGCTCCAGATGTTGGTCATGAATAATGTTAACATTAATTCTATATGCAATGTACTTAGGCCACACCAATTTAATTTGTTTGATCTTGGATTCGCCTCTTCATTGCTTTTCTGCTTTGCAAATGTCCACTCAAAAATGCTCATATTTTGCCCCCAACAGTTTAGAAAAGCTCTTTTCTTCCTAGTTGTTACAGTTTTTTTTAAATCTATCAATGCAGTAGTTTGATTGAAAGTTCAAAATTCATTGTTTCAATATTATCCCAGCCTTTCTGTGTTGACTTCATGACTCCTATCATAGCACTTAGGGCTGTCATAGGATGCCTTGACCTGTTTTTATTTTTTTCGCCCTGTCGCTTATATTTTTTTTAATTCCGAGAACCGATTAAATTGGTGTACCTTAACTGAAAACTGGGTATGAGGTGATTTTATTTTTAATAACCCTACGATTCAACGTTTAAGTTTGATAATTTTAAGTAGTGGAAAAAAAACTAAAGAAAAACTGCATTCATATATACTCATCCGAAGAGTAAAACATACAGGGAAATGCCAACGTACGGGAAATAGTGCGTGGGCCTATGTATTTAACTCAAGTATTTATGTAATACCAAGTTCATTTCTATTACGTTCAGTCTAAGAAAAAAGCAACCTTTACTGTGACCGAGTGCTATAACAAATAAACCCTTGACTGTTCATTTGATTTCATAATATTATAGAGAAGTAAATCTACAACTGTTTTGATTAAAAGAAGACAAAATAATTTGTGAAGTGGCAAGTAAATTGAAAACACTTTAATATTTATTTCAATATGTAGATCAAGTGAACCCACGTCCTGAATATCAAGTATGTGGCCATTTTCATCTTGGTATACCTTGGAATCCAGCGTTGCAGTATTAAATCTTTCATTAGTAGTGTTTATAAAGCTACCATGTGGCAATATACATAAGAGGCTCCAGATGTTGGTCATGAATAATGTTAACATTAATTCTACATGCAATGTACTTAGGCCACACCAATTTAATTTGTTTGATCTTGGATTCGCCTCTTCATTGCTTTTCTGCTTTGCAAATGTCCACTCAAAAATGCTCATATTTTGCCCCCAACAGTTTAGGAAAGCTCTTTTCTTCCTAGTTGTTACAGTTTTTTTAAATCTATCAATGCAGTGGTTTGATTGAAAGTTCAAAATTCATTGTTTATATATGATCCCAGCCTTTCTGTGTTGACTTCATGACTCCTGTCATAGCTCTTAGGGCTGTCATAGAATGCCTTTACCTGTTTCTTTTTTCGCCCTGTCGCTTAATTTTTTTTAAAATCCGAGAACCGATTAAATTGCTGTGACCTTAACTGAAAACTAGATATGAGGTCACTTCATTTTTAATAATTGTTTATTGCAAATTCTTGCCCGAGGGCTAATTGCAGAAACAGAAGAGATATGGTATAAAAACAGACAATAAGTACATATAGAACTATTGATAACTACTAAGAATCTACTGGTAAAAACTACTGGGTTTGACTTCTTTTTTGAAGACAGAGGAAGACAAAGGATCCCAATTTTTCTATAATTTGTGGGTTTTCGGATGTTAAGAGGAGAGTGGTTTTCTTTTCATTTGTATATGTGTGAAAGTTTGGGTAGAATTTGGAGGCTACGTCAAAGAGTTTATTTCGTTCATTGTCATAGAGGGTACAATTTGATATAAAAGGCGTTTCGTCTTCCACCGTATTCAACGTACAATGTTTGCAAATTCGTTCATACACTTGGAGCTTCTTGTACCGCCCTCTCTCTTTCGAGAGGGTGGGCACTAATTCGTAATTTGCTTATTGCAGAGCGATTGTTAAAATCAGTTAAGTCCAGGTATTTTTCCATAGAATATGCTGTTTTACATTTTTTGTAGAACCTTAGCTTACCAGAATCAATATTTAACTTGTGGGAAATAGTTCGTTTATACATATCAGAAATTCTTAACCTTAACATGGTGCATACAGTTTTGATATCACAAGTAGAATTACACGAATAGAACAAATAAGAATATCCACTAGAATCTAATATTTCTTTCACACGCTGTAGTAATGTTCTTCTCTGACAATGCGCATTTTGTTGAAACAGAAGAGCGTAAGCTTGCAGCGGATGCCTATTACAATCCATTTGTACAAGTCGGAGCCAATATTTTATAACATGTAGTGAAATATCTATATCTAATGGCAGTCTGCCCAATTCAGCTCTAGATGCTAAATTACTACTATTTCTAAAAACCCCTAGTATATTCTTACAGTAACGCTGGTGAGTAGTTTCAATTGGTGAGTTGTCATTTATGGCTTCTGTGCCCCAAATTTCGCATCCGTACAGAAGAATTGGCTTAATACATGTATCAAATATTCTCAGTAAACACTTTGGGGAGACAGAGGAACGAGTGAGAGATTTTAAGCTGTACATGCCTTTACGTGCCTTAAGCGACAGTTGTTTTTTAGCCAGGGAGAAGCTGCCTGATGCTGTTATGGTCAGACCTAGATAACAGTAGGAAGAGACTATGTCTATCATGTCTTTTCCAAAAGAGAATGACCGACCGGATTTGTTAAATATCATAACTTTTGTTTTCTTTAGGTTGACTTGAAGTCTCCACTTCTTGCAAAAGTCGTTTAGCTTATTGAGAGCGCATTGTAATCCTTTGTCGGTTTCAGAAAATATAACAATATCATCTGCATACAACAGACACGACACGAATAGATTTTGCAGTGAGGGTGGAGAACAATCATCATTATCAAGCACATTTACAAGGTCATTGATGAACAAATTAAATAAAGTAGGGCTTAGGTTACAGCCCTGTCTGACGCCTTTCTTTGTTACAAAATGTGGAGTTAAGCCTGAGGGGGTTTTGACACAGGTCTGTGGTTTTGAATACATACATTTTACAAGTTTATAAAAATTACGCCCTACCTCTGAATTTAGCAGTTTATAAAGGAGGCCCTCTCTCCAAACACTGTCAAATGCCTTTTTAAAATCAATAAAACAGGAATAGAGGCGTTTATTTCCTGCGAAATATTTACTTAGAAGAGTATCTATGATAAATATGTTATCGCATGTACAAAAATTTTGTCTAAAGCCGGCCTGATTCGGGGAAATAAGTTGATTTTCATCAAGAAATTTGGTTAGGCGGGTATTAAGAATAGATGTAAACAATTTTCCGAGACAACTTGTTACGGAGACTCCTCTGTAATTACTGGGGTCGTCTTTTGCTCCGCCTTTATGAATAGGCACTATGTGGCTTGAGCACCAATCCTCCGGGAAGTATCCCGAAGATAAAACGAGATTAAAAAGTTTTGTCAGTGGCTCTAAAAGGACGTGGGGGGCGCATTTTATCATTTCGTTTCGAACCAGATCACTTCCTGAGGCTTTTCCGTTTTTGAGTTTAGAGATAGCTTGTTTAATTTCCTCTTTCGTAATAGGAGTATCCAATGAGTTGTTCTGTACATTTTGTTCTAGTTTTAAAAGTTCATTTTGTATATGTGTTTGAAAACTGTTAGGTAAGTTTTGGGCGTTGGTGTTGGAGTCTGCACCATAAAGATGATTAAAAACCCTACAATTCAACGTTTAAGTTAGGTGATTTAAAGTAGTGGTTTGAAAAAAAATGATGAAAAACTGCATTCATATATATATACTCATCCGAAGAGTAAAAAATACAGGGAAATGCCAACGTATGGGAAATAGTGCGTGTGCCCATGTATTTAACTCATGTATTTACGTAATACCCAAGTATTCACAGCCCTTTACGCTTAGTCTCAGAAAAAACATACTTTACTGTGATCGAGTGCTATAAGCAAATAAACTCTTGACTTTAAATTGGATTTCATAATAGTATAGAGAAGTAAATCCACAACTTTTTTGAGTAATAGAATACATAACAATTGATGAAACGGCAAGTAAATTAAAAACACTTTAATATTTATTAAAATATGTAGATCAAATAAACCTATGTACTGAATATTAAAAATGCGGCCATTTCCATCTTGGCATACCTTGGAATCCAGCATTTCAGTATTAAAATTTTCATTAGTAGTGTTTATAAAGCTACCATGTGGCAATGTATATAAGAGGCTCCAGATGTTGGTCATGAATGGTGTTAACATTGTTTTCATACAACGTACTTAACTGAAAACTGGATATGAGGTCAAAGTAATCTCAAAAATTAGAGATCCAAAATGGTGGACAGCTTGAACGTACACAGGGCAGTAAAGTTGCATTCTTCTGTTTAACGGAAAAACCCCAATTCTAACGTATAAATTACATTTTTTGACGTCACGATATGCCGTGATGACACAAAAATTAATTGATTTTACTACAACACTTTCCTCTTAAAAATTTGGTGGTCCTACAATGAATCGTTGATAAAAGCCTCACCCCATTCGTCCCAGTATAACCTAAAAGCCCGGTCTAAATAAGGTTTTAACCCTCAACAGTACACCTTCCCGGACTGATTAATCTGTACACCTGGGGTCCGCGCGGACCCCAGAACAGTTTTTTTGCTAATTTTTAGAAATTAT